CCGGCGGCAGTCAAAAGGGTGTTGGTTCTGGGACACCACGCCTCGCAAACGGCCTTGACGATCTCCGGAGAATAGTCGTAGGAGAATAAGGAAGCATAGACCGCATCGTAAATGCATCCTCTCTTTAGTGGAATCTCGCATCGATCCAGCACATCCTCCGCCCATTCCCAATAGCCGGCCACGTACGAAAAGTTGTCATCAAATGAAGGAAGACAATTCCAAACGCACGCTCCCTCCATGATCGGCCGCCCCAAGGTTGGAAGTGGAAGAACATTGTTTGGCATGTGTTGATGGAGTGAGGATTGCAAAGTATGCTTTCCGCCAACGACATTCCGAAACCACGTCTTTGGGAAATTTGGGACCTCTAAGCGAGGGCGAGCAACTCCGCGCCCTATGAGTGGTGGATGCACCAATAGATGAGTTGCCTTGTCCAGCGGTTGACCTTCAAACTCGCAAATCACCAACTCGGTGTTTCCAGAGGGGGAGGAGACATCCTTGAAGTAAGCCATCTCGCCTACAAAAAAAAAAAAAGCAAAGATCAAAAGATGAGAAAAAAAAAAAAAAGAACAACACAAGAGAAAGAAACCTACGCTAGAATGAGAGAAATCAAGATTGTGAGAAGTTGAGAATGACAAAGCTCTCTCACGGTGAGGGGTTTATATAGTGTCTAAAAATTGAGACATGGAAAGGCATGCATAAGGGAAGGAAGAAGATAAGGAAATAAAGAGAAAAGAAAATAAAAAAAAAAGAAGATAAAAATAAAAATAAAGAATAAGGAAAGAATATATATACATCTATATATATATATATATGATATGTGTGTATAAAAAAAATGGCAAAAACGCCATTTAAAATACAATTAAAAAAAAAGAATTTTGCAAAAAAAAATGGCAAAAAAAATGCCAATTTTCCAAAAAAAAAAAAGAAAAAGGCTAAAACGCCACTTAAAAAAAAGTTGAAAAATAAAGCCATTAAAAAAAACGTCTTGAAAAAAAAAAGAAAAAAAAAGAAATTCTTTTTTTATGTTTTGAGACTCGTTCACGCCTTAAACGTTTTGCATCGGCTTAAACAAGTCTCGATGGGGCATTTTGTAGACATTAAAAATTAATGTCTAAATAAATTAAATATCATATATTTTGGAAGAAAATAAAATTCCAATAATATAAATATATATTATTTAATTATGCACATATGTTAATTTTTGTACAATAAACATCAACCATTAATGCAATAATATGCTTAAAATGGAAGATATCGTACAAATATTACGTGCATAAATAGAGCCATAATAAATTTGGCAGCAAAATAAATTAATCTTGTCAATAAAGGAAGTATATAAATTAATATCTTCCAAAAAAAGGCAATGATATAAAGATCTTGTCAATAAATGAAGTATATAAATTAATATCTTCCAAAAAAGACAATGATATAAAAATTTTGACGAGAAAGGAAGGTGCACAATCAAATCCGTCAAGAATGGAAAACAACATCTGATGGAAAATGAAAGATTATAAAATCTTTCCATCCACGTGGCACCATCCGAAAAGGAAGCCAAGGCCACCCTCCCCTATAAATAGGAGTCTTGGCCAATTCATTACACACCGAAGTTCATTTGAAGACTCGCGCAAGGGTAAGTCTCTCTAGACTCTTTGCAATGTTCTTCATTGTTCTTCGTGTCCTTCGAAGCGTTCTTCGTCGAAAGGTCACCGATTTGGACAAATGATCCAATATTGGTTGGCAAAACGATGGAGTTAACGTTCTTCGTCGTATGTCCGAGCCGGAGGAAGGATCAAAGCTCTCAAAGCTATCAAGGAATCCATCAAAGCCAAGGAAGAGCCTCCAAAGTCGCTCCCAAAGTTTCAAGATGTTCGTCGCGTTCTTCATAAAAGGTGCAAACCAGGCACTCTTCGATCCAAAAGTCAAAGGGACACGCTGCCAAAAGCGTTATGGAGCACCAAATCCCTCCCTCAATGATCAAATTCCGTTGGATCATCCAAATGAGGCATCAATCCAAATTCGACGATCAAAATCATCAACACGGATACCAAAGTCTTCCAAAAGCCGACGAAGTCAATCCGAAGACCAAAATCTCTTCAGATCAAAGAAGCCACCCAAATTCAAATTGGAAAAATGGATCGAATCAGAGAGAGAATCAAATGATCCGAATAGATAATAGGACCCGCATATATTTAAATTAAATGTAATTTATACGATTTTGTATTTATAAAAATATAACATAATTTCTTTTGTCTACACTTACAACTTGTATATATTTTATAACATTTAAAAATAAATTATTATGATTTAGTAGAAAATATATATTTATTATAATAGCCCTTTTTTTGATAATTTTGATAGTTTAAAATTACTTTTAATTTTATTACATTCAAATATTTTTTTTAAATATATATATATATATTCATATAAATATTAAATCAAACTGTTTCTACTTCTAGTTTTGACTTCTATTTTTTATTTTTTTTTTAAAGTCAATTCAAATAAACCTTAATATTATTTCAATCATCATTGTAAATCATGTTGCATCAAATCACTTCATTCTTCTTACACCTATAAAAACATAGTAATCACCTCTACATTCAACACCATAAAAACATCAACTACATCTTAATAACGCAAAACCAATTGATAATAACTCCATACTCAACATAATATATATATAGATGTCATCATAACACATACGAAATACACAATCAAATTGATGCATACATCAAGGAATTGGTCAATTTCTTACTAATCAAAAGTTAAAGGTTGAAACCAATAAATCTATTACAATCTCAAACCAAAAATCAAAATATAAAGTCATATCGAAGTATTGGAAAAGAAAGCATTTGTCATCGGCCCTAGGATTAATGCAAATGATCATTTTCATGATCATCTTTTATATATAGTTCTCTAAATTGTTTCGTTGGAAGAATTTTGTTATTTTGTAACTTTAAATTTGGCCAAATCTAATCCAAACCCAAAGATTATCTAAAGACTAATTATGGTTTATGAAAGGAAGGTAAAAAGATTAAAACATTAAGAATATTAGACACACATACATAGACCCAGAATGATGTAAAGACTAGTTTTTGCCACATTCTATTTCTATTAGGCTGATGTTAATGTGCAAGAAAACTCGTAACATAGAGTGTTGCTGCTGAAGGATTTGTTTCGTTGATGTCACATTCATTTGTTCTTATTGTAGTGCTGCCAATAAATTGGTGAGTATTGTTTTGGTGATGAACTTGTAGCAATATTTGTGACAATTGAGTTATTGATTGGTCAACTTGTTTGACCATTTGAAAATTTGGTGAGCCACATGTTAATTTGAATCTACTTTTGATTAGTGGAACTTCTGCCGCTATGCCTATTGAAAGTTTGTTTGGTTGTTGTCATATTCGTTTGTTACTTATTGTTGTGTAACTTGTAGCAATATCTTATATTTGAGACAATGGGGTTGTTGGTTAGTTAATTTGTTTGGCCGTTTGAAAATATGTTGGGCCACATATTGTATTTGAATCTATTATTCATTAATAGAATTTTTGCTTCATCTACTCGTCGACCTAAGTTTTTTTATTTTGAATAACATAATTAATATTTCTTTAATCTTTCGCATTAGTTTTTTTTTTGTTTTTGTTAGAGCTTTTCCAATCCATTGCATGTTTTGCAGTCATCTACAGTGTTACTCCGTAAAGTATTAACCCCGTTCTATTTTTGGAGTGGAGTGTTTTTTTGTGTTTTGTGTATTTTTATTATTTTCAAAGGCATATTGTGTAATTTTTATTTTTATGTTATATGATATATAATTGTATATTTTAAAAAGTGATATATAATTTATTTTTAGAAAATAATGTATAATTTTATAAATATAAAAAATTATATAAAATAATAGTATAAAAGAGAAAATTAAAATTTATAATTGAAAAAGTTATATAAAATAATAGAATTGTCAATCATCGTTGTATCATCTTAAATAATATTTTCATTGGATCTACTAAGAGTGTGTTTACTTTTGGTGATTACGGTGGATAATATTATTTTATTCAATTTATCGCATATTTTTTATAATGATTAAATCTGGTATTGATTAAAACCCGCTAATTAAAGATAGTTAACATCGGTATGATTAACTAATACAAGTAATATATGCTAATTATGATAATTAAATGGATAAGATTAATTTATCCAAGTATATTTATATTAAATTTTATTTTATTTTATATTTAATCCAACTAAGCATCATATTAATTATTCTCGGGATTATATAATCTATTAGAATAATTCTACTAATTATAATGCAATCTTAAAAATAAACGACATCTTTAACAATACAAATTTGTTTTTAAAAATAAACGACATCTTTATTCAATTTATCGCATATTTTATTTTGTTGCATAATTCTATTGAAATACACACTATTATGTCTAACTATAATAATATTTTGAGTGGATTATATGTTTTTAAAAAATAGATTATTTGCAAAATGTTATGACTCATTTGATTACATAACTAGGTGTCATTGTAAAATAATGCCATGTAGCAAATTGGATGATTAATCATTCTTCTTAATTGCCTATATAAAGGGCTATGTATTTAATAAAATGAGAGGATTGATTTTTGTTTCATTTTCACCCTATCTCTCGGCTCTCAACTCTCTCTCTCAATCTCTATCAACTCTCTCTCTCAATCTCTATCTCTCTCTCTCTATATTATATACACACTTATACATATATATATCTAAGTTATAAATATATATTATATCTTATAACTATAGTTATATTTGATATATTTTATAACACGTTATCAGCACGAGGCTTTGCCGAGGAAGTGCATATAAAGATAGCGTATATATATATTTTTTTTGTTGTTTTTGTTATATTACTCGGAAGGTTGCGAAAATTCTGGTAAGTATTTATTTTCTTTTAATTATGTCTAATATAGCAAAGTTTGAATTTCCCCCACTGGCAATTACTGGAAATAATTATATGCCGTGGGTAATGGATGTCGAAATGCATCTCGAATCCATGGGGCTTTCGAAAACAATAATTAGTAAAAATGAATGCACAAATCAAGAACGTGCAAAGGCAATGATTTTCCTACGTCATCATATTGACGAAGCCCTAAAAATGGAGTATTTAATGGTGAAAGATCCATTTGAATTATGGACAAATTTTAAAGATCGATTTGGACACTTGAAATCTGTTATATTACCGAAAGCGAAACATGCATGGCAACACTTGCGATTGCAAGATTTTAAAACAGTTGCTGATTATAATTCCATGATGTTCAAAATCACGTCCCAATTAAGATTTTGTGGAGAAAATATTTCTGATAGGGATATGTTGGAAAAAACATTTACCACGTTTCATGCCTCTAATATAGTTTTACAGCAACAATATCGAGAAAGGGGTTTTAATAAATATTGTGATCTTATTACTTGTCTACTTGTTGCTGAACAGAATAACGAATTATTGTTAAAAAATCACGAATCGAGGCCAACTGGTGCGAGTTCATTCCCTGAAGTGAATGCGATTCAGTGTTTAAATAATATGCCTAGATTCTACCGCGGACGAGGTCGCGGACAAGGCAGTGGACGTGGATTTAGTCGTGGACGTGGATTTGGTCGTGGACGTGGAATGAGTCATGGACGTGGAGCCGACCGTGGACGAGGTCGTGGCAGGTTTGTTTATTATCGTCAGGGATATTTTGATGAGCAGGAATCAAATAGGCCTATGAAGCGGCCTCAGAACGATATTGGTCAGAGTTCAAAGAAAAACGATGATAAGTGTTATCGTTGCGGAATGGCAGGGCATTGGTTCAGAAATTGTCGTTCCAATTCTTATTTTGTTGAGCTGTACCAAAATTCCCTGAAACAGAAAGACAAAGTGCCTGAAGAAGTTCAAGCACCGGAAAATGTCAATCCTCCAGAAATTAATTTTTCAGAGAATGTTGCCAGTGGAAGTGGGGGTGATAAATGTAATGATAATACGCAATTAGATGTATCTGATTTTCTAGTACAACCTGAAGGTGGGTACTATGAAAATCCCGGAGATGCGATATAAATGCATATAGATATGTGTATATATATTTTTGTAACACATGTAGTTTTTGCTCCCGACATTTTGTAATGATATGACAGCTATGTATTTTTTTCCAAAATTTTGATATATTTATTCTTATATTTCTCCCAGAAGAAGAAATATGAATGCTGAGCACGTTATAATGAATAATATGGAAGACAGTTCATGTCTCATTGATAGTGCATCAACGCACACCATTTTGAAATATAAGAAATATTTCACCAACCTGAAGTTGGGAAAAATTGAGGTGAATACCATAAATGGTTGTGCGAAGTTAATTGAGGGCTCTGGAAGAGCGATAATATTTCTCCCCGAAGGAGTAAAACTTGATATCCAAAATGCACTATATTCTAGTAAATCTCAAAGAAATTTGTTGAGTTTTAATGATATTCGCAGAAATGGATATCATATTGAGACATCAAGTATGGCAAATAATGAATTTTTGTTAATTACAAAATTCATTGATGGACATAAATATATATTAGAAAAATTGCCTTCATTGTCTTCCGGATTATATTGCACAAAGATTAATGTGGTTGAAACATATCTGGTAGACCAAAAGTCTACAGATTTTGTGATTTGGCATGACCGGTTTGGGCATCCTGGTAATACTATGATGAGACGAATTATTGAAAATACCAATGGCCATAACTTGAAAAATCAAAGGATATTAAATACAAATGAGTTTATATGTGTTGCTTGTTCAAAAGGGAAGTTAATAACTAGACCATCACCGCCAAAAGTGGGAACTGAATCCCCTTCATTTTTAGAACGAATTCAGGGTGATATATGTGGACCTGTAGATCCACCATGCGGACCATTTCGATATTTTATGGTACTTATCGATGCATCTACTAGATGGTCGCATGTGTGTTTATTATCTACCCGCAATTTGGCATTTGCGAGGTTGCTTGCTCAAATAATTAGATTACGAGCTCAGTTTCCAGATCACCAAATAAAGAAAATTCGTCTTGATAATGCTGGTGAATTTTCATCTAAGACTTTTGATGATTATTGCATGTCTATTGGAATTGACATTGAACATCCTGTACCCCATGTACATACTCAAAATGGTCTAGCTGAATCACTTATAAAAAGTTGCAATTAATTGCAAGACCTATGCTAATGAAATCCAAACTTCCTGGCTCTGCTTGGGGATATGCAATTATGCATGCAGCAACACTGATAAAATTAAGACCGACAAGCTATCATAGCTACTCTCCAGTACAATTAGTATACAAAGAAAAGCCCAATATTTCACATTTGAGAACTTTTGGGTGCGCGGTTTATGTGCCAATTACACCGCCCCAACGTACAAAAATGGGCCCCCAACGGAGATTGGGGATATATGTCGGGTACGAATCACCATCTATCATTAAATATCTTGAATCATTAACTGGTGATTCATTTACGGCTCGTTTTGCTGATTGTCATTTTGACGAGTCACATTTCCCGATATTAGGGGGAGAAACTGATCAACTGAAAAAGGAAATTACTTGGAAAATACCATTCAGTTTTCTTGATCCTCGTACAAGTCAAAGTGAATTAGAGGTACAAAGAATTTTACATTTGCAGCGAATAGCAAATCAGTTGCCTGATGCTTTTTGTGACACCAGCAGGGTCACTAGATCTTATATAGCTGCTGAAAATGTACCTGCTAAAATTGTTATTCCTGGAGACAAAATACAAAGTGCTAATGAATCAAATGTACGCTTAAAGCGTGGCAGACCTGTAGGTTCCAAAGATAAAAATCCTCGAAAGAAAAGAGGAACAAATGAAAGGATTGAAGATTTGAATATTAATCAAAACCCTCAAGAAACAGATAGTAACATTGATCAGATTTCTAGAGAAATTGATCCTGATAAACTTGATGATGATGTTAATTCTAATAGAATTTCTTCTGAAGAGAATGAAATTATTGAAAATTCAATAAATTATGTTACTACTGGAAAGCATTGGAACCGAAGTGATACAATTATGGATAATGCTTTTGCATATAATGTAGCACTTGATCTAATGGAAAATGAGGAGGATCCAGAACCTAGATCAGTTGATGAATGTCGGAAAAGAATAGATTGGCCAAAATGGAAAGATGCGATCCAGTCTGAATTAAATTCACTGGCAAAACGAAAAGTTTTTGGACCAATTGTTCAAACACCTGAAGGTGTTAAGCCTGTTGGCTATAAATGGATATTTGTTCGAAAGCGAAATGAGAATAATGAAATTGCCAGATATAAAGCAAGACTTGTTGCCCAAGGTTTTTCACAAAGACCTGGAGTTGATTTTAATGAAACATATTCTCCAGTAATGGATGGAATAACATTTCGATATCTTGTCAGTTTGGCAGTACATGAAAATTTGGATATGCGTCTGATGGACGTTGTAACTGCGTATTTATATGGCTCGTTAGATAGTGGTATTTACATGAGAATCCCTGAAGGGTTTAGTATGTCTGATGCATATAAATCAAAGCCAAAAGAATGTTATTCTATTAAATTACAAAAGTCTTTGTATGGGCTTAAACAATCTGGTCGCATGTGGTATAATCGTCTCAGTGAATCATTATTGAAAGAGGGATATGCCAATGATTCTATTTGTCCGTGTATTTTTATAAAGAAATATGGGAGAAATTTTATAATAATAGCTGTCTATGTGGATGATTTGAATTTAATTGGAACCCCTGAAGAGGTCCAAGAAGCTATTGAATATTTGAAAAGGGAGTTTGAAATTAAAGATTTCGGGAAAACGAAATTTTGTCTTGGTCTACAAATTGAACATTTGGAAAATGGGATTTTGATACATCAATCTGCATATACCCAGAAGGTATTGAAACGATTTGCAATGGATAGAGCACATTCATTAAGTACTCCAATGGTCGTTAGAACTCTTGATCCTATTAAAGATCCTTTTAGACCAAAGAGGAGAATGAGGAAGCACTTGGTCCTGAAGTACCATATTTAAGTGCTATTGGTGCACTAATGTATCTGGCTAACAGTACTAGACCGGATATAGCATTTTCTGTAAATTTATTAGCCAGATTTAGTGCAATTCCAACACAACGACATTGGAAAGGAATCAAACATATTTTTCGTTATCTCCAAGGATCTATTGATCTTGGTCTATTATATCCAAAAGGATCTCGACGAGAATTGATTGGATATGCAGATGCTGGATATCTTTCTGATCCGCATAAAGCCAAATCTCAGACTGGCCATATGTTTACTTGTGGCGGTAAAGTGATATCTTGGAGATCCACTAAACAAACATTAACCGCCACATCTTCAAATCATGCAGAAATAATAGCAATCCATGAAGCCAGTAGAGAGTGTGTTTGGCTAAGATCAATGATTCATCACATTTTACAGAATTGTGGTTTGAAATCTGAAAATGGTAATCCTCCCACTATTCTGTACGAAGATAATGCAGCTTGTATAGCGCAACTGAAAGAGGGATATATCAAAGGAGATAGAACGAAACATATTTCACCAAAATTTTTCTTTACTCATGATCTCCAGAAAAATGGTGAAATAAATGTACAGCAGATTCGATCAGACCAAAATTTAGCAGACTTGTTGACCAAGGCTTTACCGACCGCAACGTTCGAGAAATTAGTAAAGATCATTGGGATGCGTCGGTTGCAAGATTTCAAATGATGTCCACATCAGGGGGAGCGTTATTTCAAGTGATGTCCACATCAGGGGAAGTATTCTTAATGCATGAATGACGTACTCTTTTTCCTTAAGTAGGATTTTTGTCCCATTGGGTTTTTCCTAGTAAGGTTTTAACGAGGCGTATTCATTGTAGTTAAATGACACCTAAGGGGGAGTGTTATGACTCATTTGATTACATAGCTAGGTGTCATTGTAAAATAATGCCATGTAGCAAATTGGATGATTAATCATTCTTCTTAATTGCCTATATAAAGGGCTATGTATTTAATAAAATGAGAGGATTGATTTTTGTTTCATTTTCACCCTATCTCTCGGCTCTCAACTCTCTCTCTCAATCTCTATCTCTCTCTCTCTATATTATATACACACTTATACATATATATATATCTAAGTTATAAATATATATTATATCTTATAACTATAGTTATATTTGATATATTTTATAACACAAAAATATTTATAATTCATATTTAGCTTTAAAAGTATAGGTCATAATTTTTATGTTTTAAGAATTACATGCATGAGGCTTAATCATATTTTTAAAAAATATGGTAAAAAATTCTCTAGAAATTTTGTGAGATTTTATTATATTTTTAAAAATATTGCACAAAATTTTCTAATAAAGAGATTATGTGTAACATTTTCTAAAATTTTTCATGCAATTTTTAAATTATAAACGATTTAAATTCTTGTAATACCCATAAACAATTATAACTATTTGATTATCTATTTCTGATCGAATGCTCATATACTTACGAGAAAAAAAAAAAAAATTTGTACTAAAAAATAATAATTTCGGGCCATAAATAAGATATAATTAATTGTAATTGTGACGATTTATGGAATAAACTCTATTTTTATTTAAAAACAATTAGGGTTCAATATTATATTTATACAAGAGATATATTAGGTAGAATATATATATCAATATATAAAATATATATACTATATATATATCAACATCCCCCCTCAAACTCAAGGTGGAACGGTGGAGCCCAACTTGAGTTTGCTCAAAAATGACTGAAAACGGCCGGGAAGGTGAGGTTTGGTGAATCCGTCGGCCGTCTGATCAGCAGAGGAAATAGGAGACAAGGAGATGCTTCCATGAGCAACGTGATGACGTACAAGGTGACAGTCGATCTCAATGTGCTTCGTACGCTCGTGGAAGACATCATTTGTTGAAATCTTCATGGCGCTCTGACTGTCGCAATGGATAATAGTGGCAGACGGCTGAGGCACTCCATGTAATGCCCCGATTTCGGAATGTATAAAATAATATTATTATAGCAAATAAATATTTGACAATAGTAATGGAATCAAGAAACTAATATTTTGGGATAAATTATATTCCAATTTTGTATATTAGTTATAATTAAATAGACTGTTAAATAGATAAATATCGATAAAATTAAAAATAAATATAAATATAAATATAATATATAATATATAATATAATATATATATAATAATAATATAGTAGATGATGATAAGAACCTTATCATCATCGTTAATAACAATAATAATATAATAATAATATATAATGTTTAATAATAATAATAATATATTACGTTTAATAATAATAATAATATAATATATATATATATAATATGAAAAGAAAGAAAGAATCCAACGCAGCAGCAGCAACGAACCAAAGGAGGAGAAGGAAGGGAGGAAGAAGAAGGAGAAAGAAAGAAAAAAAAAAAAGAAAAAGATTTAGCCGTCCGATTCCAATTCCGACTTGGGTATGGTATTCCTTGCTATTCGTAGAGTCCGATTATAAATTTTAATACGAATTTTGATATTGGAGTATTAAATTAGAAATTCTTCAAAAATTCAAAATTGGCTATTTAGCTATTTAATCGATGAATTTCTTTAGCTAATAGCCTATTCGTAGCGCCGACATTATATTTTGAGAATTTCGTACCAATCCAAGTCGAATAAAAAACGGCAGTATATCGCACCTGCCTGCTTGTTCATACCTTTGCGTATTTTTATTTAATAATCGGGCAATATAAATATTATGAGGTAGAAGGATTTTATAGCTAGAATATCATATTCTACTAAATATAAAAGTTTGGAGCCCGACGAGTTAATTATAGAAATTAGCTTTTGAATAAGCAGGTAGCTCCTGAGAATAAGCATAAAGCTCATCTGATTTGAGTAAATAATGGGACAGGTGTACGTTGGAGGAGATTTGGGTGAAGTTATAAAATCCAGAAAGTATCGGTAGGAAGTAAGCAGTAGGGAATTAAATCTAATTTTAAGAAATTAGGTATTTATGTTGCATGTGATTCTGATTCTGATATTGATATGATATTATGTGGAATCATTTGGTCAGTGCATCTATATATGTATATATGTGTGTGTATATGCATGTGTGAAACTTCGTTTTACGATATTTGATATACGTATTTGATCGTGTTGGTGAATTTATAAAAAGGAGGATAGGTGGGCCGTCTCACCAGCCCTTTTCATTAAATTCACTTATTGACATGCTGCACACATTGCACGATTTATCGGGTATGTTTTATGGATCTATCGTTTAGTCGCCGTGTGCGGTAGTGCTAGGCGAGGGCATCATCTGGGGTTAGGATACTCGACCCCGATGTACCGTAACACTTTGGCGATAGTGGACGATAGTAGTCGGACAACTGGGTGACTTAGTCGCACGGTCATTCAGGGATTAGACCCATTGCAGTTGAGACGTATTTGGTCTAATCATTCGGGTTCGGTGTTGTTCCACTCATTGGAGTAGCTACTAGTGAGGTCTACCGGTAGTTTAGGATCAGATGCCAAACTCCAAACGCGATCCCGTTAGGGCGTGCGAGGAGGAGTAGAGTTTCCGGGTTTCCTTCGGGTGATTCCAGGTTGCACGGATTCTACTACGTTACACGGGGTAGGGCTAGACAGGAGGGTCCTATCTTCGCTATCACAGACTATGGGGTGTCTTGTGGTTAATGGCGACAACGTTCGACTATCCATGTATTGATTGCGGGAGTCGTATGGTGGTTATATGGGAGTGACCGGGTGACCGTTATATTATTATGGGTTTACCAGGTCCTTCCTTGAGCCGAGGATTTTCCGGCTATTTATTGATGATAGTCTAGTGAGCTGTTATTATGGAGCCGAGGTTATTCCGGCTGCTCACTTTGACATATGTATATGGGTATATGTGCATGAGTTGTCGATTTTGACATTATTGTTACATTATTTCAGTATGGGCATGGCATGGCATTTATTTTGCAAATGACGGAAATTAAACTCTATTTTCGAGCATGACATGGCATATTTTATGTTAGTTCTTAAAATGGATTTAATTCTAGACTGCTTTTAAGAAAAATATTTGATTCAGGTACGCATGGCACCTCCGGGACAGGGGACGTCTCGGGAGATAGAAAGACGGGCTGAATGAGTGAACTGCATCTGATGTATTATATGTAAATTCTAACTAGAAAAACCTCCCGTTTTGGGAGTATGTTTTTGTAAATATTTATAAACTTGTTTTTTTGGAAATAATAAAATGCTTATATAATTAATTTTAGCCTTAACACTGTGTTGTGGGGCCCGAAGTAGGAGGTGACGACCTCATGATGCAGTGTGGCGGTAGCATTTCCAGTATGAGCCAACTGGGGGTGTTACAAGTTGGTATCAGAGCCTAGGTTTGATAGATTTTGGCTCTTTGAATTAAAAAGGTTTTGAAAATAATAATGATATTGAATTGGTTTGGTGAGGTTTGGGTTTTGCGGGTGCATTCATGTTAATGTGATCTATCTTTTATTGTTATGCTTGGTTTAGCTGTGTGCTGAATTGATATTGAATCAGGAAAAATTGGGGGCAGTATGTCGAATTCTCGAGGTGGTGGTGTACGTAGGGCTATTCAAGGCCCAGAGTTTGATCCTTCGTCTGATGAGTCACAGTATCCTGTGCCAGCGCATGTACCAACAGAGGCACCTAGTCAGGATTTCTTTCGGCAGTTTATGGCCGCGATGATGCCTCAACAGAGGAGTTTCATTGATGCTGTGATGCGGCATAACCCACCAACATATTCTGGTTCAGTGGAGCCAGGAGTCCTTGAGTTTTGGGTTGAAAAGATGGAAAAGATATTTCGTGTTGTTCAGGTTCCGCCAGATCAACGAGTTAATATTGGAGCCTATTTCTTGGAAGGCCGAGCAAATCGGTGGTGGTTAGGTGAAGAAGCTGCAGGTGTAGACCAAGTGGATATGACTTGGGATGAATTTAAAGCAAAGTTAAAGGCTAGGTTTATACCGTCGCATATTCGAAAAGCGAAGAAGCAAGAATTGCTGGACTTAAAGCAGGGCTCGATGTCAGTTGAAGATTATTTTGTGAAGTTTAATGAGTTAGAGATGTATGTTCCTGACTACTTTTCCTGTGAGCGAGACAGAATTGACCATTTTGTAGACGGGTTGCAACACAGAATTCAAGAAGCTTTAGCGGTGTTGGATATCAGTTCATTGTATGAGGCTTACGAGCGTGCTGCCCGATTTTATCAGAAGCAGGAAGTCAGACAAAAGGAGAGTGAGAAGGAAATAGGTTATCAACATCAGGTTCGAGATAAGGGAAAAGCTAAAGTGGAGGATGAGCCCAAGGGTAAAAAGAAATGGTGGCAAATGTTCAGGTCTGGGCCATCGTATAAGGGGATTTCGATTAATGAACCGAGTCAGGAGAGGTCTCAGCAATCGGGGGCTGTTTGTCGGCGTTGTGGAACAAGCCACCCAGGTACTCGTTGTGATAAAGTTCCATTGACATGTTTTAAATGTGGTGGTAGTGGTCACATTGCCAGGTTATGTCCAAGTGTGGTAACTGCAAGGGAGTTTCCAGAACCGAGGTTTAGGCCATGGCAGCCGCCGTCTTCGCAGTCACAAGGGAGAGGATTAGGATCATCTTGGCAAGGGGGACGAAGTCAGTCACGTTCGTCATCTAGGCAGCCAGGCAGAGGACCTGACCAGCGTGGTCGAATAAATGTTCTTACCCAAGCAGAAGCTGATTATCATCCAGGTGAGGTTTTAACGGGTAGATTTCTGGTTTGCGGTTTTCCTGCTCTTGTGTTATTCGATTCGGGTGCAACGTTCTCGTTCATATCTAAGCGTCTAGTTAGACGATTGGGTTTGAATTCATCAGTAGAAGTGGTAGTGGAAGTTTTACTTCCATCAGGAGAAGTGCTGGAATGCCGAGAGCTTTATATGCAGATTCCGGTTAGTATTGAAGGGGTTGATTTTGTTACTAACTTGTTGGGCATCAAGCTATCCGAGTTCGATGTAATATTGGGGATGGATTGGTTAGTGGCATATCAAGCTCAATTTGATTGTCGAAAAAGATCAATTTCGCTGGTTGGAGCGATGGGCGAACTGGTGAATTATGCAGGATCTGCCAGACAACCTTTTATGAAGGTAATTTCATCCCTATCATTTCAATCATTTATTCGTAAGGGGTTTCCAGTATATCTGTGTGAGGTAAGAGATTTGACGCAAGGGGAGCAGCGATTGCAAGATATTCCTGTAGTCCGAAATTTTCCTGATGTATTTCCTGATGACATTCCGGGTATGCCACCAGCTCGTGAGGTGGATTTTACTATTGATATTGTGCCGGGTGCTGAGCCAGTATCAAGGGCTCCATACCGGATGGCACCTTTAGAACTAGCTGAACTTAAATTGCAACTACAGGAATTGCTAGATAAGGGTTACATTCGGCCTAGTACATCGCCTTGGGGAGCTCCAGTTTTATTTGTGAAAAAGAAGGATGGAAGTTTGAGGTTATGTATTGACTACCGTGGACTGAACAAAGTCACGGTGAAGAACAAATATCCTCTTCCGAGGATTGATGATCTATTTGATCAACTGAGAGGTGCAACTATATTCTCAAAGATTGACTTGAGATCTGGATATCATCAGCTAAGGATTGCAGAGCATGACATTCCGAAGACAGCTTTTCGGACTAGATACGGGCATTATGAATTCACGGTTATGTCCTTTGGGTTGACTAACGCCCCGGCTGCGTTTATGGAGTTGATGAATAGAATTTTTCAACCATACCTCGATCAGTTTGTGGTGGTATTTATTGACGATATCTTGGTCTATTCCCCAGATAAAAAGACGCATGCAAAACATTTGCATGTAATATTAAACATATTGCGTGCAAGAAAGTTATATGCCAAGTTATCCAAATGCGAGTTTTGGTTGAAGGAGGTTGCTTTCTTGGGGCATGTTGTTTCTGGAAAGGGTATCTCAGTAGATCCTTCTAAAGTGGCGGCAATCTTGGATTGGCCAAGACCTACCAATCAATCAGAAGTAAGAAGCTTTTTGGGTTTGGCAGGATATTATCGGCGATTCGTTCTTGATTTTTCGAAGATTGCAAAACCATTAACTAATTTGCTGAAAAAGGATGCAAAGATTAACTGGGATCACGAGTGTGAGTCATCCTTTTTAGAATTGAAACATCGATTAACTTCAGCGCCAATTTTGGCTTTACCAGTGGAAGGTGAGGAGTTTGAAGTGTATAGTGATGCTTCGAAGCAGGGATTGGGATGTGTCTTAATGCAGAATCAAAGAGTTATTGCTTATGCATCACGACAACTAAAACCTCACGAAGAGAATTATCCGACACACGACTTGGAAATGGCAGCAGTTGTGTTTGCTTTGAAGATTTGGAGACACTATCTTTATGGAGCCCATTGCAGAATATTTACTGACCATCAAAGTTTGAAATATATCTTCACCCAAAAAGAATTGAATTTAAGACAAAGAAGATGGTTAGAATTGGTGAAGGATTATGATCTTGAAATTGTATATCATGAAGGCAAAGCAAATGTTGTAGCCGATGCCTTAAGTCGAAAACCAAGGCATAACTTGGGCTTCATGTCGGTTGCTGATGAACTGTGCCAAGATTTAGCGCGGATGGAAATTGAGGTACTTGGACGGGGTATGACTCGGGGATATTTGCAAATGATACAAGTTGAGCCTGAAATTTATGATCGCATTAGAGCGGCTCAAATGGAAGATAATAAAATGGTTGAGCTTGCAGTAAAAGTTCAGTACGGTCAGACTCAAAATTTTAATATTGCTCCAGATGGGAGTCTTCGATTTCACGGGAGGTGGTGTATCCCAAAGGATCGAAATGATTTGAAAGAGCAGATTATGAGTGAGGCTCATAATACACCATACTCAGTGCATCCGGGGGGGAAATAAAATGTATCATGACCTACGTCAACATTTTTGGTGGAAGGGCATGAAGAAGGATGTAGCCAAATTTGTTGCACGATGTTTAAATTGTCAAAAGGTAAAAGCAGAACATCATAGACCAATGGGGTTGCTACAACCTTTAGAAGTTCCACTCTGGAAATGGGATTCTATCGCAATGGATTTTGTAACAGGACTTCCAAGGTCAAAGTCGGGAACAGATGCAATTTGGGTGATTATAGACAGATTGACCAAGTCAGCAGTGTTCATTCCAGTACGTATGACTTGGAGTATGCAGAAATTAGCCAAATTATATGTTCATTATGTGGTTAAACGACACGGTATTCCTGAGGTGATCATATCAGATCGTGATCCACGTTTTCAATCTCGATTTTGGCAAAAATTGCAGGAAGCCTTTGGTACTCAGTTGCATATGAGTACTGCATTCCATCCTATGACTGATGGTCAGTCAGAAAGAACTATCCGTATTCTGGAAGATATGCTAAGAGCTTGTGCTATGGAATTTCAAGGGAGTTGGGAAGACCACTTGGATTTAGTGGAATTTTCATATAATAATAGCCATCAAGCAAGTATCGGAATGGCTCCTTTTGAAGCTCTTTATGGTCGAAAATGCAGAACTCCTTTGAGTTGGGACGATATGAGTGATCGACTGATACTGGGTCCGGAAATGATTGAGGAATCGAAAAATAAGATTCGAATTATCAGAGAAAAGATGAAGGCAGCTCAAGATCGTCAAAAGAGTTATGCCGATAGAGCCCGACGTGAGGGTCAATTTCAAAGTGGAGATTTTGTCTTATTGAAAGTATCCCCAATGAAAGGTATTAGAAGGTTTGGGATTAAAGGAAAATTGAGTCCGCGTTATGTTGGACCTTATGAAATTGTCGATCGAGTTGGTGATTGGGCCTATCGGTTGGCACTTCCAAATTCTATGGAGCGTATCCATAATGTGTTTCATATATCTCAGCTTCGTAGGTATGTTGCAGATCCTTCTCATATTTTATCTCCAGATGAGATAGAGCTGAATGAAGATCTTTCGTATGAAGAAAAGCCTCTGTGGATCATGGACACAAAGGTCCGAACCATGAGGAATCGAGATATTCGTATGGTGAAAGTAATGTGGTCCAGACATGGAGCGGAAGAGGCCACGTGGGAAGTAGAACAAGAAATGTTCAAAGCATACCCACAATTGTTTAATTAAGTTGTCTTGTTATGTGTTTGAGTTTAGATTTCGGGGACGAAATCTTTTTAAGGGGGAGTGGATTGTAATGCCCCGATTTCGGAATGTATAAAATAATATTATTATAGCAAATAAATATTTGACAATAGTAATGGAATCAAGAAACTAATATTTTGGGATAAATTATATTCCAATTTTGTATATTAGTTATAATTAAATAGACTGTTAAATGGATAAATATCGATAAAATTAAAAATAAATATAAATATAAATATAATATATAATATATAATATAATATATATATATAATAATAATATAGTAGATGATGATAAGAACCTTATCATCATCGTTAATAACAATAATAATATAATAATAATATATAATGTTTAATAATAATAATAATATATTACGTTTAATAATAATAATAATATATATATATATATAATATGAAAAGAAAGAAAGAATCCAACGCAGCAGCAGCAACGAACCAAAGGAGGAGAAGGAAGGGAGGAAGAAGAAGGAGAAAGAAAGAAAAAAAAAAAAGATTTAGCCGTCCGATTCCAATTCCGACTTGGGTATGGTATTCCTTGCTATTCGTAGAGTCCGATTATAAATTTTAATACGAATTTTGATATTGGAGTATTAAATTAGAAATTCTTCAAAAATTCAAAATTGGCTATTTAGCTATTTAATCGATGAATTTCTTTAGCTAATAGCCTATTCGTAGCGCCGACATTATATTTTGAGAATTTCGTACCAATCCAAGTCGAATAAAAAACGGCAGTATATCGCACCTGCCTGCTTGTTCATACCTTTACGTATTTTTATTTAATAATCGGGCAATATAAATATTATGAGGTAGAAGGATTTTATAGCTAGAATATCATATTCTACTAAATATAAAAGTTTGGAGCCCGACGAGTTAATTATAGAAATTAGCTTTTGAATAAGCAGGTAGCTCCTGAGAATAAGCATAAAGCTCATCTGATTTGAGTAAATAATGGGACAGGTGTACGTTGGAGGAGATTTGGGTGAAGTTATAAAATCCAGAAAGTATCGGTAGGAAGTAAGCAGTAGGGAATTAAATCTAATTTTAAGAAATTAGGTATTTATGTTGCATGTGATTCTGATTCTGATATTGATATGATATTATGTGGAATCATTTGGTCAGTGCATCTATATATGTATATATGTGTGTGTATCTGCATGTGTGAAACTTCGTTTTACGATATTTGATATACGTATTTGATCGTGTTGGTGAATTTATAAAAAGGAGGATAGGTGGGCCGTCTCACCAGCCCTTTTCATTAAATTCACTTATTGACATGCTGCACACATTGCACGATTTATCGGGTATGTTTTATGGATCTATCGTTTAGTCGCCGTGTGCGGTAGTGCTAGGCGAGGGCATCATCTGGGGTTAGGATACTCGACCCCGATGTACCGTAACACTTTGGCGATAGTGGACGATAGTAGTCGGACAACTGGGTGACTTAGTCGCACGGTCATTCAGGGATTAGACCCATTGTAGTTGAGACGTATTTGGTCTAATCATTCGGGTTCGGTGTTGTTCCACTCATTGGAGTAGCTACTAGTGAGGTCTACCGGTAGTTTAGGATCAGATGCCAAACTCCAAACGCGATCCCGTTAGGGCGTGCGAGGAGGAGTAGAGTTTCCGGGTTTCCTTCGGGTGATTCCAGGTTGCACGGATTCTACTACGTTACACGGGGTAGGGCTAGACAGGAGGGTCCTATCTTCGCTATCACAGACTATGGGGTGTCTTGTGGTTAATGGCGACAACGTTCGACTATCCATGTATTGATTGCGGGAGTCGTATGGTGGTTATATGGGAGTGACCGGGTGACCGTTATATTATTATGGGTTTACCAGGTCCTTCCTTGAGCCGAGGATTTTCCGGCTATTTATTGATGATAGTCTAGTGAGCTGTTATTATGGAGCCGAGGTTATTCCGGCTGCTCACTTTGACATATGTATATGGGTATATGTGCATGAGTTGTCGATTTTGACATTATTGTTACATTATTTCAGTATGGGCATGGCATGGCATTTATTTTGCAAATGACGGAAATTAAACTCTATTTTCGAGCATGACATGGCATATTTTATGTTAGTTCTTAAAATGGATTTAATTCTAGACTGCTTTTAAGAAAAATATTTGATTCAGGTACGCATGGCACCTCCGGGACAGGGGACGTCTCGGGAGATAGAAAGACGGGCTGAATGAGTGAACTGCATCTGATGTATTATATGTAAATTCTAACTAGAAAAACCTCCCGTTTTGGGAGTATGTTTTTGTAAATATTTATAAACTTGTTTTTTTGGAAATAATAAAATGCTTATATAATTAATTTTAGCCTTAACACTGTGTTGTGGGGCCCGAAGTAGGAGGTGACGACCTCATGATGCAGTGTGGCGGTAGCATTTCCAGTATGAGCCAACTGGGGGTGTTACACTCCAAGATCAGCCAAAAGCCAGCGAAGCCATAGAAGCTCGGCAGCGGTATCGGCAAGGGCTCTATATTTAGACTCTGCACTGGACCGGGAGACAACCGTCTGTTTCTTGCTGCGCCATGAAATAAGCGAGTCGCCAAGGAAGAAGCAAAACCCGGTGGTCGAGCGGCGATCAGAGGGATCTCCCGCCCAATCAGCGTCAGAATACCCGGTCAAAACTAAGGAGGAACGAGCGGAATAATGAAGTCCATGAAGAAGGGTACCTTTGACGTACCGGAGAATCCGTAGGACAGCAAAATGATGAGTCGTCCGAGGAGCAGACATAAACTGACAGACGATATGGACGGCATAAGCAATATCCGGTCGAGTGACAGTCAGGTAGATGAGACTTCCCACCAGCTGACGATACAAAGTCGGATCATCAAGGGGAACGCCGTCCATCGGAGTAAGACGACAGTCAGAATCAAGAGGTGTAGGAACAGTCTTGGAGTCAGTGAGACCGGCACTAGATAGGAGGTCGGAGGCATACTTGGCTTGAGAGAGATAATATCCGTCGGAGGTGTCGGAGATCTCAAGTCCTAGGAAGTATCGAAGAGGCCCTAAACTCTTTATCTCGAAGTGGCGGTGTAGATGAGCCTGCAACTCGGAGATTCCTGATGCATCATCTCCCGTAATGATCATGTCATCCACATAAAGCAATAAAATAGTAATTCCAGCTGACCCATGTCGAAAGAAGAGAGCCGAATCATGATCACTAGAAGTAAAGCCAAGCTGGAGTAGAGCAGAGCTAAATTTCGAAAACCAAGCTCGAGGTGCCTCTTTCAAACCATATAGGGCACGGCGAAGTTTGCATACCTTAGAAGAGGTAGGAAAACCAGGAGGAGGAGACATGTAGATATCCTCGGATAAATCACCATGCAAGAATGCATTCTTGACATCAAGCTGATGCAGGGGCCACCGACGAGCGGCAGCGATGGCGATAAGACAGCGGACAGAGGTGAGACGAGCAACCGGGGCAAATGTCTCCTCATAGTCGATACCATACTGCTGGGTGTAGCCTTTGGCTACCAAACGCGCCTTGTAGCGCTCGATAGATCCATCAGAGTGAGTTTTGATTCTGAATACCCACTTGCAGCCAATAGGTTTCTTGCCAGGGGGAAGATCAACCATATCCCACGTATGGGTTTTCTCCAAAGCCTGCAACTCCTCAGACATAGCCTGCCGCCACAACGGATCCGCATACGCCTCACGAAAGGACCTGGGCTCATGATGGGACAAGGTGGCAGAGAAGCAGTGATAATCAAGTAAGTGAGTAGGAAGGTGACTAACCCGAGTGGAACGACGAGGGCCAGGATCAGGGGCTGAGATCGAAGTCGTGTCAGGCTCTGGTGGTGGTGATGTATCGGAGTCGAGAGTAGGAGTAGACTCGGGGATCAGCTGCGGTTCAGGAGGCGCAACCGGGACAGCGTCAGGAGCGGGAGACGGAGACGAAGCCGTGTCACTGGAAGGGAATAGAGGTGGAGAGGACAAGGTAAAGAACGGAGACGAACGATCAAAGGGGACTCGGAAGTGAGACAAGGAAGAGAATTTGGTATCCTCCCAAAATGTGACATGACGAGAAATACGTAGCCTATTGGAAATGGGATCCCAACAACGATAACCCTTATGTTCTAACCCGTAGCCCAGGAAGCAACACAGACGCGCGCGAGGTTCTAACTTAGTGCGCTCATGATGAGGGAGGAGGACAAAACTGACACAACCGAAAGGGCGGAGAAGACTATAATCAGGGGTACGATTAAATAGTCTTTCAAAAGGACTGACATACCTAGGACAGAGGAAGGGACACGATTTATAGTGTGGACAGCGGTGAGTGCGGCTTCCCCCCAAAAGCGATCTGGACAAGAGGCTGATAAGAGAAGGGTGCGGACTGTATCGAGGATATGTCGGTGTTTACGTTCGGCGCGACCATTTTGTGGAGAGGTGTATGGGCAGGAGCATTGGACAGCAGTACCTTGATCAGATAAGAAACTAAGAAATGATGAATCAGTATACTCAAGAGCATTATCTGTGCGGAGAATTTTTATGGTAGGGGAAAATTGGGTATGTATCATTTTAGCAAAGGTCATATAAATAGATGGAAGTTCAGAACGATGCCGCAGAAAGTAAATCCATGTAAAACGAGAATAGTCATCAATAAAAATCACAAAATAACGAGAACCATTCATAGACACAGTGGGCGAAGGTCCCCAAATATCCGAGTGAACTAAGGAGAACGGAGTATCCGCAATGGAAGTACTATGAGGAAACGACACAGCAGGTTGTTTTCCCAACGAACAATCCACACAATTAAAAGACTCAAACTTAACAGAACCCAAACTACCCTGACTAATCAAAGACCTGACTTTATTGGAAGACGCATGACTGAGACGACGATGCCACTGAAGGCAGGATGGTGTAGAGGTGGTGGCAGCTGAGATAGAGGGACGAGGGACCTGGAGTGACGTAAGTTCAAATAAGCGGCCCGTCTTCCGGCCCTTCCCAAGAGTCCGCCCGGTTTGCGCGTCCTGAACCTGCACACCAGTAGAAGAAAATATTACGGTGAGACCTTGATCAACTAATTGACCAACGGAAATCAGATTTAAGGTTAATTGAGGGATACAGTATGTGTCGGGGAGGGATAAGGATGAGGTGGATGTATATCCGGTATGGGTGATGCGCATATGGGTACCATTGGCAGTAAGGATAGGAGGTAAGGATGGTGCGGTGGATGTGGAGGTCATAAGGCGTATATCAGAGGTCATATGATTACTGCAAGCAGAATCAAAATACCAAGGAGAGTTACCTGATGTGGTAGACATGGCGGTATTGGAAGATAGAACCTGTTTAAGAAGAGCTTCCAGGTCCTGAATCGTAGGAGGCGCAGGCGCAGGCGCAGCAGAGGCTGTGACAGAGGAGGTACCAGACTGAGGTCCACGAGAATTCCGAGGCTTGTAGTTACTACTTCCAGAGCGAGACGGCCTAGTGGGGCAATACTGTATAGTATGGCCTAAAACATGACAGTAGTGACACTCCACCTTTGGGCAATGACCGAAGTCATGATCAGAGGACTGACATCTTTTGCAACGATGAGAACGACTCTGAGTAGGAGTTCGGGCAGTGACCGCAAGAGCAGAATCAAGCTGAGGAGCCTTAGCTAGGTGGAGACGAGTTTCCTCAAACAAAATCTCCTGAATAGCTGCATCCAAGGTAGGAAGTGGATGCCGATGTAACAAAGAGGCACGAACTGCCTCATACTCTGGACGCAAAGCCATCAAGACCTGAATGAGGCGAAGATGATCAGGACTGATCTCTGCTTGATCCAACCGATGCCAAAGGGGTTGCACTTGGGCAAGGAAGTCGTTGATAGATTGTCCTGGTTCCTGTTTTAGATCGTGGAGAGTGCTCCATAACTGATAATAATGTGCCAAACCAGTAGCACGGAAGCGGACTGCCAAGAAATCCCACGCTGCCTTGGCAGTGTCAAATTGGGCAAGCTGAACATGGATCGCCGGAGTGGAAGTATTGCGTAACCAAGTGAGAATTTGATGGTTTTTACTATCCCAATCTTCCAATTTTTCAATATAAGATTCAACAACTGTGGTGGTAGGCGTAACTTCTCCTATAGAAACCGGAGCAATGGGGGCAACTATATCTCCCGTAACAATTTGCCACAATTTCCGACCTATCAAAAAACTTTTCATCGATTGTGCCCACAAACTGTAATTATCTCCGGACAGAACAACATTGATCGGAATATGTACATCCATCTTTTCCATAGAAACTCAAGAGAGAACAATATCTCAAACCTCAAGCCGAAAGCCGAAACGACAGAAATCGAATCAAACCCGAAACACAAAAAGTCAACCGGATACAAAAAACTGCTCAAACGGAAGAAGTGAAGATACCATCGCGGAGGAAATCAAATTCCGAACACGACGGTGCAAAGATCGCCGCCAACGGCCGCCGCACGCGCCTCCACGCGCCGGCGAGGCGTCCGGCCGGAAAACACGTCGGGCGCGTGTGTGGCTCACGCGCCGCCATTCGCCGAACTGTTCCGGTGTCCGGCCGGTCTCGTGACGGCGAAGACGATGGTGGTGGCGGTGACGGTCGGAAGTGGTCGGAAATATGCTATCTGAAATTCGTGGGTTGTTTCGATTTGGTCGGGAAAAAGCCTGGCTCTGATACCATGTGACGATTTATGGAATAAACTCTATTTTCATTGAAAAACAATTAGGGTTCAATATTATATTTATACAAGAGATATATTAGGTAGAATATATATATATATCAATATATAAAATATATATACTATATATATATCAACAGTAATTTTATTTAATTTTTTCAATTTACTATAAAATGCTCTTTGCATGTGAAAATTACGAAACTCTTACAGCAGAAAAATTGTAAGAATTTTGGATAGTTCTTATTTTAAAAAAATTATCAAAATTTGAAGTTATTTCATAATTATACGTACCATACATACATAAAATTTGTAAATAGGATTTGACTTTCCAATGAAAAATGATAATATCTAGCTAAAATTATGACAAATTCTATAAATCAAATTAAATTTTCCTAATAATAAAAATGAATAATATATATATGGCCACGTAAAAAACTAATAATAATAATAAAGAAACGATATAATAATTGCTGCTCATATTTTATAAAGCGGGCAAAAAATTATTTCTATTGCATAAATAATTTATGAAATAATAAAGATTTAAAGATGTTATATAAAAAATTATAATATAATATTTAAAATTTTATAAATATGAATTAACACTCTATAGTAATTTTATTGGATAGAATTTTATGTTACTTTCATCAACTCAAATTTATTTCAAACTAACAAATTATTAGTATTTCTTTTGAGTAAAAATCCAAATGGAGAAAATCTCAATAAAACTAAATCA